GAATAATCGCTCTGATACCATGAACGATTTAGTGAAAGAGGAAGAATTTCATATTGTTCATAATTAAGTCTCAACCAGTACAGAAGATGCTTTTATACAAGAGGATAAGGCTAAAAGCTGCACTAACCGACTAGGAATTAATAAACAGAAAATATAACAACTAACTGGAACTAACAATATCTAGTTATACTAGTCAACTATTCCTAATACAGGTTGCAAGTCAACTCAGCCGGCACATCAAGTTGAAGGCATTCAATACTCGATGATGAACATCGCCCCCAACGATCCTTCTCTACTGCGAGAGGAGATAGTGCCGACCATTGCAACCATTCCATGAGCGACATCCAATATACGGAATCCAGATGTGTAATCCAAGAAACCGACTGTGTATTAGGGAGTTCTGATATTAATCCCAAAATCTATTTTGAAGCAGTCTATTGTCAAAGAAAATGCTCCGACCACCATGAATGGGAAAAGCCATCAAAGTGCAAGCTCGATAAGTTAACTCCCGCCTAAAATCCTTTTGGCAAAAGCTATGGGGGTTTAAACCCATCAGATTATGTGGTCTCGATCCTTGGAGCTTACGGTTCACCATAGATTTGAAGAGGATAGTAGATTCGAAGAGAACAGGACGATAATGCCCGGATGATGTTCTTCCAGGCTTATGAAGCATGTTGCACCAGACAGATTTCATTGCGAGATTCCTTTGATCTACAGATCTTCTGATCGGGATTTGATCTTCGTTTTTTCTAGAAAACATTGATCCGACTGGGGAACCCCCAACTGGAAAATTGATCGTCAAATTTTTACACAACAAGATCGTTACTGACCATTTTCCTGATCTGTGAATTTCAGATGAAATTTTCAGAATTTTCAGAAATTGTCATGAAATTTTTGATAATTTGGGGAGGATCAAACTTGATTTGTTCAAAACTCTCAATGAAAGCACCATTTCATGATCTATAATACCTAGATCTAGAGAGAAGATAGAGAGAATGAACAAACTAGAGAGATAAAGTGTGTAGTATGAAAGAATTAGGTCTTAGGGTTAAAACATGTAGTTAGCTACATATATTCAGGCTACACGGGCTTGCAGAATGCCATGGGCTGGTATAAAAAATAGCGGGCTAGGCCCAAAATAAGAAGTACATCATCTCGGGTACCCCGGTCTAGGATAATATATATCCATCATTATTATACCAAATTAATCCTAATCTTGATGGAGCATCGAGTTCAGCCATTTCTGCTGAAATAGTTAGATATGCTTAACTTTCTGAAAGAAGAAAACATTTGGGAGCATGCATTTCAGCCACAAACAAAATAACAATAAAAATAAACTTATTATGTTCATGTGTTGATACCAGAGTAAACAATATCAGGTAGTACAAATATTAAAAACATATAATTGCTAAATTTTCTCAATGAAAATCAAGAATATATTGAAAACTTATTCATAAAGTCATTCCAAACAGAACCTTGTGTTTTAATTCCTCTTTTTCAATAGATAATTTCTTAACTAAGAGAACTAAATGTCTCCGTAAAAAAAAAAAAAAAAACTAAATGTCTAAACCTTGCAGTTCATTTGTAAAAAGGACACCTCAAGTGTATGTGTTTCTATAGTAAAATGTATGTGTTTTAAGAAAGATAAGAATATCTAAACACTATGTGTAGCAAGCACGATATATTCATCTAAACACATTACCAAACACTATATTTTAATTTTCCTAACCTCATTCCAAATGTTTAAATTAAACAAATCACACAGCTTAGAGAATTGAGCAAAAAATGGTAAATTGGGTTAAAACCATGATTGAAGTCTTGAACCATTAAATCATTATTCATTTGGTAAAAAAATTATCTTGTAAGGATTGGATTAGCTTGTACTCCTATCATTTCAATTATTCTCAAATAGGTAACCCAATTTCCTAAATCTTCTTTTGTTTAAAGCTCAAAAATATGTTAAGATAGGTTTAGGCAAATATAACACAAGTCCACAAAGTCCAAGAGTGGAGGATTGTGGGATCTCCTATTGTAATTTGAATCACATGGACGAGAGAAAATGAAGGGATCAAATGAAGCCTCACCTGCAATAATCAATAACCGTCGTTGTGCACACAATGACACAAGTCCACAAATCCAGAATACTATCAACTTACACGCGAGAAGAAGATGAAGAGAATGAAGCTGCGTGAGGAAAGTTAGCGCCAATTTATGGAATGGATGAATTCTTAGTCCCATCGAACTAACCCTAACTAATGTAGTGTAGGTTTGAATGCTCTGAAACGTAAGGGAGATTTTGAGTTAAGAGATGAGGTTGTATCATGTATGTGAATGGAATTGATAGGCAGTGGAAGTGAAACAAAGACGGAGACATCAAGTTAAACACGGAAGGTACAGTGCGACTATAAAGTTAACAAATCGGGGTTAATTTAACGGAAACCGCGGGTAGAGAGCAATGAAGAAAGAAGAACAGTACTATGCCTTTACAGTAATGTACAACTCAATATAGCTACATAATAACACCAACACATTTTTATTCTCATAAGTATATTAACCCTCATTCACCATTATATAATTTTAGATTTAGATTTTAGATATTAACCCTCATCAGCCTTGTCATTAATAAATTTAAAATTTTTAAATTGTCCTCACTAATTAGATATTTGCAAGAGGACAACTCTTGTTTTCTCTTACTTCTTTCCCGTCTCAATTACACCCTTCCCGAACCCTCATCCTGATTGAAAAACTTGTCGCACTTTCAACTTCATATAATCTTTTCTTCCAGGAGCCTATTTTGAGATTGTAAGTCGATTCTCTTTGACTTGTTTTAGAATATGTTAACATGTTCAACTTCAGCTAATGAATTTGCATTACTTCCATCTTCTCATTTGGAGAAGCCACAATTTTCATCTCGATGCAAACACAAAATCATACCACGAATAATCAATATGAATCCTACTTACAGTTAAGGGAAAATGATAAATTAAAAGTTAATACACTCACCGGCCATAAAGATCAACCACAAAATTTCCTTCCAACATTTTCCCATTTTTAATAACTCACACAACACAGCTGATGTTGTGGTGACAACTCAATTTTGAATTTACTCCTCTAATTGATTCACCGAACAAGACCATTAATCTCTTAGCTTGATTTTTCTTTTTCCAGAAACATCTGTTGCCTGAGAATGGCAAATTCACAAATGATAGGAGGTGAAGACGCCAAGTTACAGGAGGGAGATTACGTGAGGAGCATAAGCTTACCAAGTGCGATGGAAGGAGGGAGCGAGGAAGCAAAAACTTACCAGGTGAACAGGAAGAAGAGATGAGACTGCAGGTGAGATAAGGGGATGAAGCGTCTGCATATATACTACAAAGCATTAATTAAAACTTTGATCAATTGTTAGATATTAATAACTTCTCATAACCGGTATATATTAGATTAGAATTGCAGAAAGAAGAGAGACCACAAAGTTTTTTTATAGGATTATCAATAAGAGGGACCGTTTTTAGAAGATCGGGTAAATGTCGGATTATTCATATCATTTTTTTCTTTTTTAATGATTCTAATTTGGATTTTGCAGTTTTATAAAGATTTTAATGTACTTTCTTAATTATTAAAAATTAAATTACTTATCAATAAGGGGGATAAAACTTTAATATTGATTAACTAAAAATGTTGAGCTTTGCAAATCAATTTTGAGGCCATAGGGGTAAATTGTTAATGAAGGGAGAGAGTATATACTAAGGAACAATATTCATACAAATTGTTCATACAAATATTTTGCTTCTAAATATTCTATTATTATTGTTATTATTGTTATTATTGTTGTTGTTATTATTGTTGCCATTATTACCTATTATTATTATTATTATTTAATTTTGTGTGTGGTCTAGAAGGAGGAGTAGAGGGGACACCCTAGCCTCCTCCTCCTCCTCCTCCTCCTCTTTTCGTCTCTTCCTTCAATTTTTTGGCTTCAATATGAAAAATGATTCGTTTTTTTGGAAGTGAAAAATGATTCGTTTGATCACTTTTTTTAGTTCTATCTATACGTTTGTTTTCTAGTGTTGTCTAGAGATGTTATTTTCGGTGGCGAATTGTCGTCTACCAGATGTATATTTCCCTCCATAATTGGTCGGGTGTTCTTGGATGTTAGTAATAGATTTCTAGTGGCTTATTCATTAATAATGAATCTAGATTTTTTGCTCATCTGGTTGTGAGGTTGCCATGCCTAGTGGGAGGTCCCGAGTTCGAAACCCGCGAGGCACATAAGGGTTCGAAACTCAATGAGCTGAGTTTCAGCCCTGATTACTCCCAGCCCTCCCTTCCCCAAACCCCCTGGATTAAAAAAAAAAGAATCTAGATTTCTTTTGCATCAATATTGAGGTAGATGGGATTGTATGAATTGCTTTCTTTCCGGTGGCTAGTAAAATCGAAACAAATTCTGCATTTGGTTCCTTACTGGTGGCTAGCAAAACCGGGAAATTCAATAGTTCCTTTTCGGTGGCTGGTAAGACTGGATCCATTTTGAGTAGCATGAGCAGTCACAATGTGATACTAGTCTATATTGTTGTAGGGTTAGCGAACAAGAGCGTCTTTATAGGTTTTTTTCGTTCTTTGTCTCACTCTCTAGTGTAGCTTTGAATGCTATGATTATAATGTTTCAGCTTTTGACTGTTACGTTTCTTGATACTCTTATCAATAATATATACTACCTCCGTCTCCCTAAGCTTGGGACAAATGGGTGTGATGTGATTTTTTAAAAAAAGTAGAGTTATGTGGTTGATATTGAATTGATAAAGTGTTAATAAAGTAAGAATGAATTTTAATCACTCAAACATTACCAAATATGGTATGTGACAAAGTTAATGAGACGGATGAAAAAGGTAAAACGAGACAAAGTTAAGGGGAGGGAGGGAGTAATAATTAAGTTATTTGTATATTAAAAAAATTATTATTTAATTTTTTTTGAAGCATGGGCTAAAAGCCCGGACACCAATTGGCAAACCAAGCCCCAATTTATAAATCGAGCTCTTCTCCCCCCTAATCAACTAGGGTTTATCAGACACTTGAAGGCACCGTCTTCCAGGCGTATCTTCCCACTAGCAGTCAAAATGGTTAAGGGACGTCAAGGCGAGCGCATCAGGTTTCCGATTGCTTCCCTAGCTCTAATTAAATTCCCATTTCTGATCCCTCATTTTATCTTACGTTTGGTTACTTGTTTGGTGGCAGACTCTATGTCAGGGGGACAGTCCTTGGTTACAAGAGGTGATTCCCGGAAACCTTGATCTAAATTTAAGTTCTTTGTAATAGTAGTGGAAAGTTTACTTTAATTGTGTGCAAATCGTTGATAGATCGAAGTCGAACCAGTATCCAAGCACCTCATTGGTTCAGATTGAAGGAGTGAACACTAAGGAGGAAGTGGGTTGGTACCAGGGAAAGCGTATGGCTTATGTCTACAAGGCTAAGACAAAGAAGAACGGATCTCACTACCGTTGCATCTGGGGAAAGGTCAGTCGGCCTCATGGAAACAGCGGTGTCGTAAGAGCTAAGTTCAAGTCCAACCTGCCGCCCAGAGCCATGGTTAGTTTGAATTGCATAAGTTGTTCATCTTTGACCAGTTTGAGCTTCTTTCTTTTATGTTTATATTTCGTTTTCACTTTTTTTAATATTTATTTTATTCCAAATTTTGTAGGGAAACAGTGTTAGGATTTTCATGTATCCTAGCAATATCTAAGGTAATCTCCAGTCAGCCTTCATTTTTACTTTCCTATTGCTGCTTTTGTTACTTATTAACACTTAAGTTATTGCCTTGAAACTTTTTGATATAGTAAAACAATGTGTGATGAATCTGTCATTTGCTCCATAACTTTGGAAGTCAAAGGAGTTCTATTGTGACCTATGAATTGAGTTTCCTGTTTGTTAAAGAACGTTGGTCATCCTTAATTAGGGCTATGAAATGATAATAATTTCCTAAATCTGTAACATCAGTATTTCACTTCTGATGTTAGCCGACCCCAAAATCTTTTGGGACTAAGGCTTGGATGTTGTTATTATTGTTGTAGAAGTGAAATGCACTCTCATCATTGTTTGGATAAAGTAATGGTTGGCTGGCCGAGTTAGATGCAGGGTATATTTTACACAGTATTTAACATTAAAAGGCTTACTTTATGTTGATTTTTGCGAGTATATTTGCAATATCTTGGTTTCCTATGGTTTAAATGGAGGTGTAATATAAGCATTTTTAATGGTTATTACCTCATTGTACACCGTTTATTATAAACTTTTACTTAATTACTTAATTTACCGAAGCCACAACCCTCCCCTTATTCAACCTATTTATATTTGCTTGGGGGTGAAAGCATTGACCCTTGACAGAATATTCTCATATTTTTCTCTGTAGTACACACATATCTGCATCTGTACTTCTTAAAATTCTACTGTCTGTAAAAAGATTGGATACCTGCATACCTCAATATTTGAGTCTCAATCTAACCGAGTGGAATTGGAAAAATAATGTGTCTACTGCCTAGTTAACAAATGGAAGCATGTTTTCTATTATGATATTAGGAAGAATAGAAGTAATGTTCCAAGTCATATCTAGACCATTCATTCAATTATGCCTTTTGCACTATTGATGTTGCCGTAACCATTATATTAATTGTATTTTAGTATTAATTGTATAAGTAATACTCCGTACTACGTAATACAGAGTAATAACAGGTCGCAGATTCTTAAAATATTGGGTGAATATAATATCTCTGATGTAGTTTTGATTTTGTACTTGTGCTATAATGATTTGGTCCGATTTGTAGTTTGCTAAGTATATTGTGTCACAATCTTGCAGTGAAGAAGATGAAGAATAGGGTTACTGCTGCAGTGCTTCAAGGAGTCTACTCTTTATTTATAAAATTTTCAGAGTTAAACTTCCTGTGTTTTTCATATTTACTATTTAGACATCGTTGTGTGTTGTATGAACAAACACATGGTCTATTACATCTGTCATTTGACATCCTTTTTAACTGCAATATCTATTTTGATCACAAAAGAACTTGAAGGCATTTCTTCTGTTTTGTTCCATTTAGATCGTTCATGACAGCATTGTTTTCTACACATCTTGATTATCAGTTGCTGCATTGCGCCCTGTATTTGACCTTTTTAATCCCACCACCTCCCCCTGTTTCACTTTGAACTATAGGAACCGCCGAACCGGCACTGGTCAGCCAAGAATACTCTGGCTGTTGTATATTTGCGTATTACTAATATGACTGAAACATGATAAGGTGACATGCGTATTAAGAAAATGAACTGGTACATGAGTTCATCCCTCTGTTTACATGAAAAGCCATATGGTTTGATTGCATTGTTTGTTTAGTGTTAATATTGATGTTAACTAAGAGGGTAGATTAGAGGAATAAAAAGTGAAGCGACCGTTGCCTGACCTGGCAGCTTATAGATGAAGCTGCAGATCTCTGATATAGCCTTTAGTTCACCCTGGCCTGTGCCTTAACTATTTAGAAGGGCTGCACTTTGACTTTTAGACTTTACAAAAACCTGTAGGGATCTGGATCAGCATTTACAAAATCTTGGAAGTTTTAATTTGTACACAAATAATGATAATGATTTAGAGTTGTTCTTGTTCGATTCTTGCGATGTCATTTGCTCAATGCCAGATTTTTTGTCCTTAATTTATGTCATTTTTTGTATGAATTGCAAAAGGTCGATCACTAGCAATTTACTCCATATCAAGAATTTGTTCTAGAAATGTACATTAGATATAAATTCGTAAATGTGCACAAAAGCATGCAAGTATTAATATTACCAACCCTTTTAATAGGATATCCCAGAATCAAATCTTCTAAACAAGGGGTCCTGATTCCTGAATCCATAAATTTGCATAAGATGTTGGTTGAGAGCACAAGAGGCTTTAAATAAAAATTATTGCCAAAAGTAACATATTCACTAATTACTATATACCCCCAGGCCCCAGAGCACAACCAACCTGAAGGCCCGAAACACATTTTTTATACTCTAGAACTAGCTATAATACTCAAAATTCAAAAGGAGTAAAAGAATTAAAAGTAAAATTCATACTAACATGGTATATCCCAGAATCAAATCTTCTGTAAAGAACCCTATTTGTTAGAACTTCATGACTAAGCGTGTTTATACAAGTAAAGTCTTGGAATCATGAGCAATATTAAAGTGTGTCGTAAAGACTTGTGTTAATTTATTAGAATAGTACAATATCGAATCAAGAGAGCGTCCGAGAGTATCACCTTAGGCCCGCGAGACAAGTGGTACAAGAACACCGCCTATGACAGTATGTTGATTTGACGGGTCCCAAAAGTTAGGAGTTGTTCATTTTGTCTTAATCTTTTTACTTATTGCTTATTTTTATTTTATTCAAATCATATCTGAAAAATATTAGACCATATAAGAAAGATTCAAATCAGATCATATTAGAAAGATTCATATAAGATTAAACAGATTCAGATCGGATCAGAAAAAAAGTTCTTGCACAAAATTTATGATTACTACTGTTGTTATTTGCATTTGTATGTTATTATAAATATAGAATTATAGGTTCTTGCTATTTACATTTAAAATAATAATAACATTAGTAACTACATTATTATTACTATTGTTGTTGTTGATGATGTTGTTGTCGTTGTTGTTACACCATATTACGTAGTATTTTAAATTATAAATGTTACTATTATTGTTCTTATTATCTGTAAGTTACTAATAGTATATAAATGTAGGTTGTTGGTATTTGTAATATAATAATATTAGTAGTGATATAATGATATTAGTAATACTAATGGTAATGTTAATCATAAAGGGAAACTTACTATCAACCCTTACATTTTTAAAAGATACTCTCTCCGTCCCATAAAACAGGGCCAATTTGATTTTTCTTGACTAATGATAATAAACTTTGAACTATGATTTTAATTATTATATTCGAGAGAAATTTAGAACTTTTTTACTTCTATGAAATTACTTAGAGCGAAGAACATTTCCATAAAAAATCATATTTAAAGTGATTTCTTGAACATTTCCAAGAAAATTCAATATAACCAAATTTTAAAGGATAGAGAGAGTAATTAATTACCCATTACTTTTGGTTATTCTCATTGTTTACCAAGTTTGATAGTTAAACTTACAGTTTGGTATTGGATAATTAATCATCCAAGTATGATGATTAATTAATGGTTTAAATATGTTTTTAGTCCCTGCAAATACAGGTCACTTTGTTTTAGGTCCTTGCAAAATATTTTCTTTGTTTTTCATCCTTGAAATTAATGTTCATTTTCTTTTAAGTCCATGACTAATGATAACAACCTCTATTTGACACTGAAACAATCCCGACTAATAGGTATCCTTAAATTCTTTGTCATACCATTCAAAAAGTATTTAATTACATTTTTAAAGGAGTTTTTATTAACATTTTTTAGAATGGGAATAATTAGTTTTATAATTGTATTAACTCTCTTATTAACCTCAACAAAATTATAAACTGATAAATTTAAATGCTTCTAGTTGATTTATGCAACCGACAATAAAAAAAAATCTAAGTAGAGTTGTTTCGTAGTTAGAGATGGACTAAAACCAAAATAATGCATATTACAGGGATGAAAAACAAAGAAAATATTTTGCAGGGACTTAAAACAAAGTGATCTATATTTGCAGGGACTAAAACCATATTTAAACCTTAATTAATTACTATACGGTATACATCCAACATATTATTATGCATTTGAAAATTTGTAGCCTTTCAGATTCATAAACAAATCACCAAAATTCTTGAAAGTATCTGAACTTCTTTCCAGAACTTTAATTTAAACCAGTGAATGATAGGAAATTCTTGAAGTGGATTAATTAATGAAACATTAAAAGTTTTAAATTCAGAGGCACTAATTTAAATTCAGAGGCACTAATTTAACATTCTTATTTTTCTTGCAGGGGCCGAGGCCACCTCCAACCCCTCCCTGTCTTCACCCCTGATCGAGAACATCCAAGAAACTAGAAAAGGGCCTATAAAGAGGTTGCTGGAACAAATTGTAGACGGATCTATCTAATACGATGTAGGTTATTTGATGCGTATATGGAAAGTTCTTAAGCAATTTAGGCTATGTTTGGCAAACAAAAGGCTATAGCTTCTAGCTTCTCTATTCTTTAAAAAGACCTTAAAAGACTCTAGTTGTATGTTTGACATGACATTTTTTAAGAACTTTTCAAAAATTAAAAGATCTTTTTTTGAGATGCTACCGGGTGTAGCATCTGAGAAAAGCTCGTGACTTTTAGTATTAATTAGTCCTAACAGCTTGTATACCAAACCGAACTAAATCAAACAGTCAGCTTTTTACAAAACAGCTATCACCTTTTCTTTTTAAGATCTTTTCAGTCACTCAAAGTTAACAACTACTAAAAAGCTCGTAAAAGTATCTTTTTAGCTAGTTGTGCCAAACATATCCTTAATTGACTAATTGACTTATTCACTCGCTGATTGGCTTAATACTCAAAGGGGAAGGTTATAAATTGTTTAAATAAGATTGTATAGTGCATAGTTAACATATACACCTTATATATGTTAAAAGTTAAATATGCAAAATAGTATAGTTTCAAAAGGTGACAAATATTCTTTTAAAATGGGAAAGAATCAATGGCAATCGTGGGAAACTGGAAAGAATTTTTCTCACGTCCTCTTTTTACGCATGGAGATTTATATGTTGCGGTCTCGAGTGTGACAAGATCGTTTGACTTAAAGTTCTTAATATGCGACAAAGAATGAAATTTAAAAAAAAAACTACAGAAAACGTTGTATACAAGGTCTTCAATAATTTGTAATTTGTATGCATATTAAACTTCTAATATAGTACTCCCTCCGTCCCATTAGAAGATTCTCACTTTCCTTTTTTGGACGTCCCATTAGAAGGTTCTCATTTCTATTTTAGGAAACAATTAACAATCTTAAGTGACAAATTATTCGGTAAATATTAAAAATATTACATTTACAACATCACAGTTATCAATACCAACTACATTATTATATACCTATTAAAATTATTTCTCAAAATATACTCGAAGTACTTTATTTAATTGTCGCCTAAATAACCATGTCATTTTGCTATTGATGTGACATAATTATGTGTTTTGTAAATGCTTTATAATTAACATTTATAATAGGTTCATATTACATCTCGTACAACGCATGGTGAAATACTAATTTTGATTAAAAACTGTATAGGTCCCCGGATCCAATATTTTATATTCTTAATGATCTTGACACAATTCAACGTTTTCATCATATATTGAGTCAAAATTCCATTTTACTACTAAATTGGTTCAATGTGACAATGTTCGAACCTGTTACAATTGTTACCAATAATCAATCTGAACCATATTGGTTGTTTCCAAACCTTATGCATATTTTTAGAGTTTTTTTCTGAAATAAAGTTAAATAAAAAAGTATTTACGAAAATAGTGTTGAGTTAAATGTATTTACCAAAACCAAAATAATGTTAAATAAACCATGGTTAATAAGAATCGCCAATGCAGTTGGCGACTTACCTAGACTAGGGGTGCAAACGAGCCGAGCCGAGCCCGATTTTCTACAGGCTCGAGCTCGAGCTCGAAATATATAGCATCGGCTCGAGCTCGGGCTCGGCTCGAACGAGCCTACAAAATCGCGGCTCGAACTCGACTCGCAGAAGGCTCGGTTCGACTCGGCTCGGCTCGAGGCTCGATAACCATTATGATGCTCCATAATGAGTCTGTAGTAAAAATTCACTGTCATCGGCCCATTCTAAGTTTTTCTACTGAGTAGTAACGACCTAAGCCTAAAATATTATAAAATTTTACTAATCAGCATATATTATATACTCCCTCCGTCCCCTTTTAAATGTCCCGTTTTACCATATTGGGATGTCCCTATTTAATTGTCTCATACCTTATTTGGTAAAGTTTGTGCGGTTCAAAATTATTTTTACTTTATTCTTACTTTATCAATTAATATCAATCACACAAACCCACTTTTCTTAAAACTCGTGTCATACTCTTCCGAGACATTTAAAAGGGGACGGAGGGAGTATATCATATATATTACTCCGTACATTATAACAGTATACATTATATATT